TGTGCAAAAGCTTGTAAGTTTGATTAGTTTCTCATTTGCTAATTTTTGATTTTGTTTCTATTGCCTTGGGAGACTGACCTAAGAAAACACTGGTATAATTTATGTCAGAGAATGTCTTGCCTATGTTCTATTCTAGGAGTTTTATGGTGTCATGTCTTATATATAAGTCTTTAAGCCACTTTGAGTTTATTTTTGTGTATGGTGAGAAGGTGTGTTCTACTTTCATTGATTTACATGCAGCTGTCCAACTTTCCCAACATAGCGGGGAATTTCAGCACTGCTCCCTCACTTATTTGATAGGACAAACAGAAAAAGAGTAGTAAATATGCAGAATAATTTTTTAAAAAGTTTACAAAGTTAATTTAAAATATATATGTAGAAATGTGTGTCCCCAAATTAGAGAAAACACATTCTTTTCAAGTACCTGCAGCACATTTATAAAAACTGACCACTTATTTGGACAATAAATCAAGTATCAATAAATATCAAAGATTCAGTATCATATAAACTACATTTTCTGACAAAAATAAATTAATTTGGAAAAGAATAACAAAAAGATAATTTTAAGAATATTTATCCATTGAGGAATTTAAAAAACAATTTTAAGTAATCCATAGATTATAGAAGAAATCATTGTGGAAACTAAGCTATAAGTACTTAGAACTGAATGATAATGAAAATGTTAAATATCAAAACAAGAGACTTGCAGTGAAAGCAAAATTTAAAGGGCAATTTAAATACTTATATAATAAAAGTTACAAATGAGCTAAATGACTTTGCTTAAGAACTGAGGAAGGAACAGCAGAATAAAAGCAAAGAAGAAAATAGATAAAATAAGAACATAAATTTTTGAAATAGAAAAAGTGATATAATAAACAATTCACTGGGGAAAATTATGTAATAGATAACACTTGGGAAGACAAATCAAGAAAAGCTAAGATGGCTTCCCTGGTGGCGCAGTGGTTGAGAGTCTGCCTGCTGATGCAGGGGATACGGGTTCGCGCCCTGGTCCGGGGAGATCCCACATACCAAGCGGCTTGGCCTGTGAGCCGTGGCCGCTGAGCCTGCGCGTCCAGAGCCTGTGCTCCGCAACAGGAGAGACCACAACAGTGAGAGGCCCATGTACCGTCAAAAAAAAAAAAAAAAAGGAAAGAAAAGCTAAGACAAAGAGAAAAAAAAGGAATAAAAATGAAACAGAATTGTAGGTGTGTTAGTGATAAAAAGGTAGGAAAACACCAGTGATTAAAAAAGGTAAGAAACAAGTTTGTTCCAATAGCCATAAAGAAATTGAAATTGTAGTTAAGTCATTCAATTAAATAAAAATCAGGCTCGGATTGTATTACAGAATAATTCTATAAGACTCCCAAGGAATTGTTCATTCCAATTTTATAAAACTCTCAAAGACAATAAGAAAAAGAGTAGTCTCTAATTCATTCTATATGGCCAGTAAAATACTGAATTCAAACAAAAGTATCTAAGAATAAAAAATTACAGGTCAATCTCACTCATGAACTCAGAATCAAAAATCTAAATAAAATATAAGCTGAATTGAACAGAATATTAAAAAGTTAATACATTTGACTGAGCGTCTCTGAAAAGCAACGACAAATTATCATTAGAAAAGTTAACATAATAAAAGAAAAACAGGGAATTCCCTGGTTGTCCAGTGGTTAGGACTTGGCGCTTTCACTACCACGGGCCTGGATTCTATCCCTGGTCAGGGAACTAAGATCCTGCAAGCCACGTGTGTGGGCAAAAAAAAATAATAAAAAAGAAAAAGAAAAAGAAAAGAAAAAAGAAAAAAGACCTCAACATTTTCATCTCATTAAACATAGGAAAAGCATTTAACTAGCATTTATTGAGAACTTACTTTCTAATAAGTACATATTTTCCTTTATTTTAAAAGACTAAACATAAAAATATTTGATAACTTGATAAAATCTGGAGATGTTATATACATTAATTACAGGTATTGAAATAGCAGACACGTGACCAAAAGATGGATAGGAATACACAAAAATGAAAATAGTGCCAATGTGATAGGGTATTCCTTTAATACTGTTACCATATTATTTATCCAATAAGTGTATTAAAATATTAAACTCGTTTTATTTTAAATTTATTTTAATGGTCAAATCTTAATGATGAGCCTCAGTTCTTATTACACCTTCAGGTATGGTTGCTTTTCATAAATACTAATTCATTGTGTGAATCATATTTTACATTTATTTATATGTTTATCAATTTAAAGAAGAGAAAATAGATGAATCGGCCTGTTTATAATTTCTGACATTTTCATATGCATTATCATTTTATCTTTTAATTATGCTAAGCAGTTCAAAAGGGTGGAATTTTTCTGTTTCATAGATATATGAACTGATTCCTACAGTGAAATAACTAGGTAAAAGTTATAGTAGTAGATAATAACCCAAATTTAAGCCACATTTGATAAATATAATTTCTCCCATGTGCCAGTCCCTGTTAGAGTATACATTGATGATACAGACATTTTAAATTTTTTAATACAGTGTTGGTTTTCAAATCAGCAATCTACCTCCCTAGAAAAGATTTGTGGAGTGAATGTAAGTTAGAAAAGATCCATATCCTTGGTGACCTTACCACTCAAGAGTCATGTATATACTGGACAAATCACTACCTGTAGTCACAACTCCTTAACGAAACTTGAAGTTCACAGCACATTATCCTGTCTTACAGTTATCTTAAGAGGTTCTGCTAAGATGATTTAATTGCAGAACTTTGTATACTGTATGACACCATACAAATGCATAGCCTTATTTATGTACTCAAAGCCAAATCTTACACATTTTCCATTAGAATCAGAACCTTAATAAGCAGCCAGCACATGGACAACAGCATTTAGATTTAAAACATTCTAATATACTCAATAAATATACACTCAGTCCAAGGGAAGTTTTCAGAAAGCATTGAGATATTTGTCCTCAACTAATACTAATAAAAAACAACAGGCACATGCAGTCATTTTATCTGCTGGCTCATAAGGATCTTGAATTTATTTATTCAATTTCCCATTTCTTCCTCTCATTTTTTCTCTCTTCCTATAGATTCAGAGTGATAGTAAGATTTCTATATTCAATAACACCCTTTCAAGCCTTTAACTTTGTTTAAGACAAGATAAAGAATAAAGATTAAGAGGAATTCCCTGCTGGTCCAGTGGTTAGGACTCGGGACTTTCACTGCTGGGCCCAGGTTCGATCCCTCCTCTGGGAATTAAGATCCTGCAAGCCACGTGGCATGGTCAAAAAAAAAAAAAAAATTTACTGTTGTTAAGAATATAGATTAAGGTTCTAATCCTGGCTTCATTTATTCAAACATTTGGAGTAGCTACCACATGCCAGGCACTATGCTAGGCTCTGGGGGAAAAAAATAACAGATTGGCTTCTGCTCTCATGTTGCTTATTTTCTGTGTGCCCTTGGGCATTGTAGTTAATCTTCTTTAGCTTGTATCTTGATTTATAACAATACAGTCTTGATGTGAAGATTAAATATGGTTATCTATGCAATGAACATAGCATGGAGCCTAAAATATGGTAAGTATAAAAATAGATTTAAAATTTTTTTTTACTGAAGTCTATAACAATTTTTATCATTTTATCTTAAATAAGAGTGTGCAATGTTGCAGCAGAAATAGGGAAATAAGTTTACAAACTGTCATGCTTTAAAGCTAAAGGTTAGGGTTATGGGACTTAGGTTTATGGGTCAATATTATGACTTGTGTGGGCAGAACTCTTCATTGGGTTATGCTTCCTGAAAAGACTTTCAGGTAACTAACAGAAGGAATTGCCTTTCTTCCTGCATTAATGGCAAATTAAATCTAAAAGATGGTCTACATGGATTAGAGCTAGAAAAAGGAATCAAACTACAGGAAATACAAACTTGCTTGTGTTAACCCAGGATCATCTGGAAAAGTGTACTTGCTAGCAGAACAGTAGTTTACTCCAAGTTTCACTATAGAATAAAAAATTCTACAAGATTATACAACTCCTTTTGCTCTAATTCCATTTCTGGAATTAGAAGAATCTTGCAACCAACTAACTTGGTTATGGAAAAAAAAATCTTGATGAACAGAAAGTTATATTCCCCCTAATAAAAATGAATAAATCATTCTTAAGTTTGGTGATTGGCAATCACTCTGCTGGTAGTGGAGCATCTGGGTAAACTCACAAAATTAGGTTCCTACACACACTAAACAAATATTCTAAACTGTCCCCATAGGGCAGCTAACAAGGACAAAGTGGGAGAATTTGACTATTTTAGTCTCAACACTTCATTCAACATGAGGCAACTGTAACACCAAGGTTGTGATTTATTAACCTAGTCAATGGCAGAAGCAGCACTAATTCAGAAGTTTGTTTTCTTTTACCATCAAATGCTAAATTAATATCCAAAGGCATATATTTGTATTTACCACGCTGTAAAATTTTTTCTTAAGTCAATGCTTTAAATCACTGTATGATCTTTCAATGCACAGAAATGAGAAACAAAATTTCTAAATAACACAATTTTAATACATGTTGACGCTGGTTAATTGGTTAGAACGTTAGGTTAACAAGGCCAAAGTCCAGGGTTTAAAGTCCAACTAGGCCAGCTGGCTTTCCAAACCATTTGACAGCACATGTTGGCTAGAGAAATCACTTCTGGGGATTTAAAAAAAAAAACAAGAAAAACCTGCAAAAGTAAGGCATTAATAATATTAAAAAAGGTGTCTTGTTTGTCACTTTAAAGTTGCATTTTCTTTGACAAGCACATATCTTTTCAACATTATTAGAAACGCGCCTTCTGAATGCAAACTATTAACTCCATGGCTTTAGGTAGGATACTTCCAACTTTACCTACTCTAAACAGAAAATCCATAGCACTACAAGCCAGTTACTTTACATATCTGTAATTAAGTTACAATTACACCTATTATATATTAGGACCTACAATAATATTTTGGACACATGAAAGTACATGACATTTGGTGAGAACACTGGGATTTTAATTTTGTAAACCATATATTCGAGTGCTCAGTTACAGAACGTTGCCCATAGAGAATTGGGGCCTGGGTTGAGAACTTGTCTCTGCCCAAATGCAATATCACGCACTACTCCCAAGAGACAGCAACAGGTCTGTCCAGATGCTAAGACCAGGGACTTCGAAATCTCCATCCTGAGCCTTACAGGACTTCAGGGCAGTAAAAACTTCATCTTTCAGAGGTGGAGGGGCCTGACAGAGGCTTTGAAACCTGCTCAACAACTCCTCCCAGGGCACACTCTGGGATTCAGTTCCAATCCAAAGGCCTTTCTGAAGGCTGTAGTGCAGCTGTCGACCCCAGTCTGTTAGCAGGCGCAGATAGACCCGGGAGAGCTCTGGATGGCGCCCCGCCACCAAAGTTAAAAGCCCGGCTGGGAGGCTGCGGCAAAAAGCAACCATGACATCCGATCTCCCCAGAAGCCAGCGAAGCACCTCTTGACCCTCCTCTCCCAGAGTTTTGGGGCTGCCTAGTTCCAATTCCTCTTCTTGGTGCCGGGGAGACGACGGCGGCAGCAACAGCGCGGCCGCTACCACCTTCAGGAAGTTGTTCTGGGGCGAGCGCTCCCACAGGCTGCTGAGAAGCCTACCAGAGCCCCCTGCCTCGGCCTCCCCCACCTCCTGCAGACGCCTCAGCAGCAGCTCCGCCTGGGTCTTCATCAGTGAGTCCTCCTGAAGGACCGGGTTCTCTCCATAGGCGTTGAAGCGCAGCATGTGAATAGCGGCCCGGCGGCGGGCGAGGCGGGCCAGGCTGCCTTGGAGCGACGACTCCTCGGCATCCGGGACGCCAGGGCCGGGAAAGAGCTGCTGCAGCAGGTAGTGAAAGGAGGCATCCCCGAGGGCCGGGTTCGCCAGCAGTCGCAGGGACAGCAGCTGGTCGCAGAGCCCCAAGGCCTGGAAGTTCGCCAACCCCGGGGCTGGAGCAGGCCCAGAGTCGCCCTGCTGCTTCCACTGGTTTTGCAGTCGCCGCTCCAGTGCCTTGCTAATGCGGGCATGGCGGCCAAAGCGCTTGTGGATGTGGCGCAGGTACCGAGCCCACTGTAGGGCCCTGCGCACGGTCACTGGGTCCCAGGTGCTGACGTGGGTCGTGCGGGAGGCAGCCAGAACCTCAGAGAAGCGCTCCAGGTACTGCGAGAGCAGTTCCATGGAGCGCG